GAGGAGGAGGGAAGTAAGGGTGTGAGGGTGATCTTCTTCTTATTCATTAGAAATGAATAAGTGTTTAGATAACCATCGTGCTGCACTTTGTTATCAAACAACCAAGGACGTCCCAAAAGGACATGGCATGCATCCATGGGTATGATATCACACCAAATATCATCTTTGTAGGTTTTGCCAATGCTCAAGGAAATTAAACAGCGGGTATCAACTCGTAAACCTTTACCTTGATTCAACCATTGAATCGTGTAAGGTTTAGGATGAGGAAACATGCTTAAGTTAAGCTTTTTCACCATGGTCTTGGCAGCAACATTAGAACAACTCCCACTATCAATGATTAGGGAGCATACCTTCTTTTGGATTGTACAACGAGTGTCAAATATGTTCTCTCGTTGTAGTTGTTCTTCGGGGCAGGGAATGGCACTTAAGGTCCTTCGGATGACCAAAAGTTCGCCGTCATCTAGGCCAACACATTCTTCTTCTTCTTCGGATTTCTCCTCTTCAACCAAAGAGTGGTCAAAGTCTTCATCATCATATTCAACAAGGGCCATCACCTTTTTGTTCGGGCACTCATTGGCATAGTGACCGGTACCCTGACAACGGTAACAAATGGGAGCTCTTTTGTTGGTTGGAGGGGCTGTTTAGGTGTAAAGGGGGTGGAAGATGATTTGGAAGGAGGTGTGGTTTTGGAATTTTGGGGCAGACCCTGGGTAGTAGAGGTGGATTTTGGTGGAGTGTAAGTTGGCTTTGAGTAAGAGGAAGTGGTTCGGGAGAAAATGGCTTTGGATTTCCTGATTTGAGATTCCACTTTAAGAGCTAATTTAGTGAGCTCTTCAAAAGTGTTGAAACCTTGTAATTAAACCGTGTTGGCTATTTGAGTATTTAAGCCAAAAAGATACCTTACGAAGGTTTGTTCTTCATTCTCCTGCAGATTGCACCTTAGCAAGAGTTCTTCAAATTCTCTGGTGTAATCCTCAACAGATTTTGAACCTTGTCTAAGCGTTTGAAGCCTAGCAAAATTCTCAAATACGTACTCAGTAGGTAGGAACTTCTTTTTCAAGAGAGTCTTCATCTTTTGCCAGGTATCAACCGAGGGTTTCTCATCTCGACTCCTCTTGGTTTTGATGTTGGACCACCAGGTAGATGCATATTTCCGAAACTTCAAGGCTACAAGCTTGACCTTTTTCTCGTCGGATACTTCTTTGAAATCAAATACTCTTTCCACTGTTTCCAGCCATTCTAGGAACTCATCCGGGTCATTCTTTCCTTCAAAGATGGGAATATCCACTTTGAAATCAGAACCGGACTTATCTTGAGCTTTAGTTCTTATGGTGGCACTGGAACTAGCGTCTTCTTCATCATCACTGGATTGCAACATAGCTAGCTTTTGTTTAGTGAGCTGGGCTATTTGCTTGGCTAGATAATCAACTTGAGCTTGCAGGGCTGCATTTGAAGCTACAAGTTCTTCATGGGTCATGTTTTGAGTGGTATTTCACATGGTGTTTGGTTGGGCTGATTTGTGGACTTTGTGTGATGTATTTGGGATGAAGTATCAAGGAAGGATTAGGAAAAGGTGAGGAAAGTGTGTTTGGTCCTGTAGAGATGTTAACAACAAGCTCTGATACCAAATGTTGTACTCAAACACAGGAAATGATTCACTCAGGATTTGGAAGTGGGAGATAATCGATTAACAAGCTCAGTAAATCGATTAATAGGATCTGATACAGAACTGGGAATGTTCTGAGGAACCCAAAAGTCGATTGACTCTACAAGACAATCGATTTACAAGCATTTAATCGGAACTGGATACTTCCTGAGGATGACGATAATCGATCATCAAATTATTGAAAACCGATTATTAGAAGTTTTGTACTTTGGAGAAGAATCTGCAGACTACAATAGTCGATTATCAGTTAAGGATAATTGATTATTCAGAAGTTCAGAATCAGGATCAGAAGAAACACAGAGAAAATGTTTTGGGATTTTTTGAATAGGGATAAACCAAACAATGTGTAAGAGATAAACACACTCTTAATATATATTTGGGGCTGTTATCTATTTTATACAATAATAATCACTATTAAAGTATTAAATAGACTCCTAACACACACTCAAAAGTGGCCAATTTTAGAGATATTTCATTAGGAAATGGATTGAACTAGCTTCACACCAATTCAGGGAATACATCAAGAGTAATATTAATAATGAGAATGAGATGATCTTTACAAGGCCTCATGGCCGAAATATATAATGCAAAATAAGGGAAATTACACTTCACTTTCCTACAAATCATGTGATTAATATCCATGTGTTATTATTCTTAGTGGGCAGCACTCATTGACCAGGAAAAGGAGATTAAAAGGATGGGATTTTGGCTTAGTATGATTCATTAATTCCTGCCATGTGAGAAGGGAATCAAGGAAAATTGTAACTTTGACAATTAAGGATAATGTGACAAAGTTTGCACTATTCAATCAATGATTTTGGTTCCTTGATGTTTTTATCTTTATCCTTGGTAAATGGAGTTGTATTTATGGATATTTGGAGTGGGAAATTCGGCCATATGCTGAAGAATATGAAGGGGATTGGGTTTTGAACAACAGGACAAAATAAACACTATTCAATCAAGGAAAACTTTTTCCTGATTTTGTTTTTGTTTTGTGGAACATAATGTGGCCTGGTTTTTGGGTAAAAGAGTTGGGAAATTCGTGGGTTTGAAGTAGGGAAGTGAAAGGGAGGTTTTATTTTAATTAAAAGGAACAACATAAGTAGAAATAATACACAAGGCTTGTCCTTCTGACCTCATTCTCGTTCAGGGCTAAAAAGGAGAGAAAGGACTTTATTTTGTTTATTAAATGGAAATAAAAGACTTTGGATATTTGGGAAGGATATGGAAAGGCTTGATATCAAGAAGAGCTTTGGAGCAGGGTTATGGTTTGGGTTTTAGGGTACGAAAGGTTAATGAGTTCAGCCCAAAAAGGATTATAACACTTAGATATTAACCCTTTGATTTGTTTTATGGTTTGTGGTGTAACCTCCGTGCTTGTAGGAGCATCCCGGGGTACATCAGTGGTTAAGGCAAAAACCATCGGTTTTGGCTAACCACCCACCCAGCGATGGGAAGAACTTCCCATCGATGGGTAAGCGGTCCCTAAGCCAAACCAACTTCAAGAACCATGCCAAACAGCGATGGGAAGTTCTACCCATCGCTGTTAAGGCCTTGGTTCCACATCAACACAAGGCAGAACGACCTTACCCAGCGATGGGAACTTATCCCATCGATGGGAACCCAGCGATGGTAAGGCTAAACCATCGATGGGAAGGCATGACCGTTGGAAGTCATTTAAGGTTGATTCTTTCCTTGTTTGGAAGTCAACCTCCCACCCAGCGATGGGAAGCTTGTACCCATCGATGGGTAGGTGACCGTTGGCTTCAAAACTGAAGGAAAATTGGCTTACCAGCGATGGGTGAGTCTAAACATCGATGGGAAGCCAATATCCTGCAGATCCCAAATTTATTCAATCCCATAAATCAAGCCAATCACCCCTTTAATGTATTGGTCCGTTGGAGCCTATTTTGGCACTATAAAAAGGGGTGTTTGAGTCTGCTTTTCTCATCAATTCACTTCACAATTCTCCTACTTTCATTGCATTCAAATAACATTCTTTTCCATAGCTTTTTAGAGCCAATGCGTGTGAAGTTTGAGTTGTTCTTGAGCGTATTTAGTTTACTCAATATCTACTCTAAAAGAGAGTCTCGTTCTTGAGTGTATTTGTGTTCTAAGACACGTTGAGAGAAAGTATTTCTCTCGTTTGATTCGAAGGAAGGGCTGTTTCCTTCGAAGGATTCGTTGAGGTTCGTGTGACTCGAACTCTCAATTTGTAAGGGTTTTTTAAGCACCGTTAAGCTTAACGAGATAGTAGTGTAGCTCGAGAGAGTCTATCGGGAGGCTGGATTAGCCACAAGTTGTGGTGAACCAGGGTAAATTCGGTGTGCCTTTTACTCTTCTCATTACATTTCTTTTAAATTTTTAATTCCTGCGATTTCTACGACCAAACGCTATTCACCCCCCTCTAGCGTTGGTCTTTCATTCTAACAATTGGTATCAGAGCCTAACTCGCGTCCAAACTTAACCGTTTGAGAGTAAAGCGATCATGGGTTCTTCTTCTAGAAATCTTTATGCAGGAATTGGAGAAGGTCAATCAACCTCTAGGCCACCGCTCTTTGATGGCACCAACTACACATATTGGAAAGAGCGGATGAGAATTTATATCCGCTCAACCAACTTTTAGTTGTGGTTGGTCATCAAAAACGGCGAAGAAACGCCAATGAAGAAGGTCGGTGAAAAACTCGTCCCAAAGACCGAGGACGAATTTGATGCCGAAGACATCAAAAAGGTGGAGAACTACGCCAAGGCAATCAACATGCTGTACTGCGCGGTCAACCCCGATGGTTATCGCAAGATCTCTTGTTGCACCACCGCCAAAGAAATGTGGAACAAGCTGGAGGTCACATACGAAGGTACGGACCAAGTTCGGGAAGCCAAAATTGACTTCCTAACACAAGAGTACGAAATGTTTAGGATGAAGGAAGGCGAAAAGATCGATGACATGTTCGATCGGTTCTCCAAGATCATCAACGACCTTCATGCCCTCAAGAAGACTTACGCCAACAAGGATCTCGTGAGGAAAATCCTGCAGAGTCTCACACCCGAATGGAGATCAAAGGCTGACGCAATCTACGAATCCATCGGAGTCTCAAACGTCACCATCGACGGGCTAAGAGGTAACCTCAAAACCTAGGAATCTACTATTCTAACCCCGTCTTTGGATGAACAAAAGAAGAAAGGAATAGCGCTCAAAGAAACCAAGGAGACCGTGGAAGAAGTCTCAAGCGATGACGACAACGAGTTCGGAATCGTAATCAAGAAATTCCACAAATTCATGAAGAAGGAATTTGAACGTAAAGGAAGAAAGCACGACGGTCCCCCGAAGTGCTATGGCTATGGCGAGATAGGCCACATCAAGCCGAGGTGTCCAAAAGGCAAAAGCGGCAAGGACAAACCTGGCTTCAAAAAGCAACGTGCCTATATCTCATGGGGTGGCGACTCCGGCGACGAGTCAACTAACCAAGAAGAGGAAGAAGCCGCTAACCTTTGTCTCATGGCACACGAAGACCACGCCGACGAAGTACAAGAGGTATGTACCCCTTCTTCCGACTCTTACACTTTTGAAGAGATGCAAAAAGTACTTCAAGAGCTTTATGATGAATTTGTTAGCGCTTCTAAAACCAACAAATCATTAAAGAAACGTCTTTCAACTCTTGAAAATGATTTTGAAAAACTAGAAAAAGATAATGAGAGGTTGAAACAAGAAAATAAATTTTATGGCAAAAGAAGCGCCGACAAACCGGAAAGCTCTTCAAGTGAATGTGAATCTTGCAAAGATTTAAAAGAAAAGGTTGCAAAACTTGAGAGTACGGTTAAGAAATTCAATACACCACACAAAGATCTTAACTTACTCCTTGACACTATGCATTTTTCTAAGGAAGGATTAGGTTTTGATAAAAATGAATCTAAGGATAAAAACGTTGAGCAAACACCTAGACAACCTCCTAAGGCTCAACATGAGAAAGGTAAAAATCAGGATAATAGAAAATCTAGTCAACCTAAGAACACTAGACAACCTAGACAAAAACCTAGGAATGAAAATGTGCATGTTAGACAACCTAGGAAAAATTATCAAAATGAATTTGTGCATAAAAATAATTTTTCAAATAGACAAAATAATGCTAGAACACCTAGAAGAGAGAATTTTCAAAAACCAATATTTTCCCAAAATAGGATGAATATGGTTAGGCCCCCTAGCAACTATTATCAACCTAGGAGGATGCACAACTCAAACGTAGTTTGCCACTATTGTAATAGGGTAGGACATATAGCTCCCGTTTGCTTCACTAGGCATAGGCATTGGGCACAAAATGAATCACACTATCACTTTGCACCTAACACTCAAGGACCCAAAAAGACTTGGGTACCTAAATCTTATTAAATCATTTTTGTAGGTGTGCTTGAAAGCGTCAAGTGTACTTTGGTACCTTGATAGCGGATGCTCAAAGCACATGACCGGAGATGCATCCAAGTTCCTGCAAATCAAACCCGCTAAGGGAGGAAATGTAGTCTTTGGAGATAATAGCAAAGGAAAAATTATCGGCATCGGTTCGGTAGGTAAGTCCGAAGACTCTTCTATAGATAATGTCTTGCTAGTTAAAGGTCTTAAACACAATCTCTTGAGCATAAGTCAATTATGTGACAAGGGAAACCGTGTGACCTTCGATTCAAAATCATGCACTGTAGAACGCCTTAGTGACAATAAGGTCATTCTACGTGGTGATAGAATCGATAACATTTATATGGTTAACTTAGACAAATCTCTTTCCGGCTTTGCTAAGTGCCTCATGAGTAAAGAGGAAGACACTTGGCTATGGCACCGAAGGTTAGCTCATATGAACATGAACCTTTTGAACAAATTGGTTTCACAAGACTTAGTAATTGGCATCCCAAAACTTAAGTTTGAAAAAGACACCATATGTGATGCATGTCAAAAGGGGAAGCAAGTTCGGGCTTCGTTTAAGTCTAAAAACGTTGTTTCAACGTCTAGACCGCTTCAACTTTTGCACATGGATCTCTTTGGTCCTTCTAGAACGAAAAGTTTTGGTGG